AGAGAGAGAGAGAGAGAGAGAGAGAGAGAGAGAGAGACATGAGAGATACAAGATTGGGTTCTTACCTGCTGCGCTGAAGATACCGCTACGGCAAGAGAGAGATAGATAGATAGATAGATAGATAGATAGATAGATAGATAGATAGATAGATAGATAGAGAGAGAGAGAGAGAGAGAGAGATGAGCGATCCAAGATTGGTTGTCACTTACCTGTAAGGCGAGACTGCGGAGGTCGGTGGAGAAGGAAGACGGCGGCCATAGCCGCGGAGCATTGACACAGACTACCGGAGGAGAGAGAAAGTGGAGGATAGAGAAGGAGGGACTTAGGAGGGAGAAGAAAAAGTGTGGAAGGAGGAGATTGAAGAAGAAGGCAGACATAGCCGGGGGTAAAAAAAAAAAAAAACAGCGAAAGAGAAGAAGAAAGAAAGTGATGGAAGGGGCAGTAGACGGCGAGGGTGACGAAGGTGAAGGTGCCGACAGCCATAGCCGAGGTGAGCGGCTGACAGGGCATTGACCAGACCGTTGACCAGAGGGTTGGCCAAGGGTTGACCAGAGGGTTGACTAGGCGTTGACCAAGGTGGTTGACCAAGCGTTGACTGGGGGTTGTCAGCGTTGACTCAGCGTTGACCAAGGCTTTGACCGGAGCTGCTGACCAAGATTTTGACCAAGCTGGAGTTGGTGATATCTCGTTGACCCTTCAGCCTATCCCCTTACCCTGTGGGTGTGCACTTACCCCGTGGTCCTTGCTGAGTCTGTCTGTCTACTCTTTCTGCATTGAGTCTCTTTTGTCCTAGGTGCTAGGACTCTGTGGATGAAGGATAGGGCCTTGCTGCTAAACCTGCACGGGCTTCGTAGGACCAAAGCTTTACTCTGGCATATGGAGACCTGGGCATGAGCGGCGAGCGCTCGTTAAACAACTCGTCTAGCCCAATGACCTTTACTGTTCGGTAGGTCTACTGAGTTCAGTGTAAAGGGTCCGAACTCCGGGCTGTAGGCTGAAATGAGGGCCGTCTTTAAGTGTTAAGGCCTGGTTGAACCACTCCCCTACCGGACCTAGTAAGGTTGATGATCTGTGTCTAACGACTCGACTGTCCCGAGGGATACGAACCCCTCCAAGGACCGGTACAGACTGACGGGCTGCTCGGTGTGGCACAGTAGGCCGGAACGGCTGAGTTGTGGGCTGAAATCGCCAAGAAGAACTACGTTGATCACGTCATCCTGACTGCGACGTTAAAGAATTCTTGAGGAGTTTGGGGGATCTCCTTAAATGCCTCCTGATCAGCTGTTAGTTCAATAGTGACAGCCTTAGAGTAGTTGTGAGTAGTGAATCTTAGAGAGTCAGCTAGTATACCAGTGTGTCCGGGTAGGTCTAAGTGGTGAGGAGTGGGGCTCTTGTCATGCACCTAACACCACGATGGACGACTATCCTATGTATGGGTTGCTCATTGGGTTCTCCCTCTGGGGGACCCTTTGGCGTCTCCTCTTTCCTCTGGGCTTCTGGCCCATGTTCACGTGTAGAGTAGGGACTCGGGGTGGTACGTCCACCCAGCCTTACACGAAGGAGGAGGAGGAGAAGATGGCCGTCATCCTACATGAGAGGAAGGAGAGAAAGGAGGCCAAGAAGAAGGCCTTGAAGGAGGAGCAGGCGGCCAAATTGAAGAAGATCGAAGAAGAGATGGCCAGGGAGAAAGAGAGGTTGAAAAAGGAAGAAGAAGAGAAGCTGAAGGAGGTGGAAGAGGAGGAAGGCCCGACACTGCAAAGGAATAGTGGGCAGCATAGTGACAGCAACGGTGGGGACCTGGAGAAGAGGATATCCGAATGGGTTGCCAATCTGTCTGTGGGAGAAGAGGAAGAAGTTAGCATGTATATCCCACAGGATGAGCAAGAGGCTGCCATGACGGCTTGGGATGCAGAGAAAGATCCCCTAAGACGACAGGCATTGGAAGACGAAAAGAGGATGGAGTGGAAACTAGCAGTGATGAGGGAGAAGAAGAGGAGAGTTGATAAGGCAGCGGAGGCGGCAGAAGAACTCGAGGAGGTGAAAAAGATAGAAGAGCGATTAGCCGCTCAAACCGAACTCCCGAACCAGATGCGAATTATAGCACGAAGCATCGCAAGCCTGACACGGATTCAGACGGACCAATATGACTTCAGTAGGAGTCAAGATATAGCGGTGCGCTCGATGCGATTGGGCTTTCGGGACTTTGCTCGTGAGTTGGTAGGCGTTGTTGGAGCCGAGGTGGGTCATCGCCTCGACAAGACTGAACGGTTTTGCGTTGGCGCCATTGAAGGCGTCAAGGCGACAACTCCCAAGGAGGAGGAAGTACATCCTCCTCGCCGGGAGCCGGTCAAGGTCAAATTCCCTGATTCCTACAGTGGGAAAAGGGATGAAAATTTTGACAACTAGGAGGCCAACATTAAGACCTATGTGCATTTGCAACAAGTCTCCCCGGATCAGCAGGTTCTAATTGCGATCCACGCGCTGAGAGATGAGGCCGCTAGTTTCGCAAGGTCCCTAGTCCGCGCTGCCAACTGCAGTGACAATCCTGTTGCGTACTCCTCATTCACGTCCCTCACGGAATTCTTGAAGTTGCTACGCGAGCAATTCGTTGATGTTGCTCGCAGTGTCAAAGCCTCAGATAGGCTTCAGACCATTCACTCGCGCCAATGGAAGAGTGTCAGGGCACTCAAAGGCACAATGGATGAACTAGTGGTTGTTCCTGACCACGGGGTCACTGAGACCCAGTTGGTCAACCTCTTCTACCGGGCTATGCCCGAGTCGCTGCGTGGCCACTTCTTTACGAAGAGTCAGGACCTTGCCATGACTTATGATGCACTTAGCAGGGAGGTGGTTTCGTTCGAGGCAAAGTCTGTGTCAGTTTCCACTTTTTGGCACAAGGACTTAGACAAGGGAAAGAAGTGGAAGGGCTGCACTATCTCAGGGCAAGTAAAGACTAAGGATAGTCTTGTCCTAACTTTAGATGAAGGTAGTGTGGATGAAATCCCCTACGACCAGATTGAGTGGGGGTTAGAGGAGGAGGACAGCGGTGTGGGCCGGGGGAGATCTTACGCTGCTGTCGGGGCTGGAGGGAGGCCGCAAGGAGGACGAGGCCAAGGCCAAGGGGGCCGGGCCTCAGGGGGCCGGTTTCAGGGCGATCAGGGGGTTGGCGGCCGAGGAGGAAACTGCCAAGCGGGAGGTAGGGGTCAAGGTAACCCGCAAAACCGTCCTAGGAACATGTCTCCCTATAAGGTAGGAGGATGGCACCCGGGGCTACCACATGGTAGGCCTTGGGAATCTTTGGGTGTGGACCAAACTCTATGGCAACAACGATTGGACCGGGGCCAGTGCATTTTTGCGGTGACCCGGGCCACATCATCAAATAGTGTCCTAAGTACAGAGAGACCCGAACGGCTGCCCAAGGGCCAAAAGACAGCCGCCGGTAGGGGTAGCAACTGCCCCTACCACTGGGCCATGTGGGGAAATTAGCGCTAGCCAGCAGGAGACTCCCACACCACATGTGCCTACGGCAGAGGTTGCAGGCCCGTATCTAGATAGCTGTCCGGAAACTGCTTGTGTCAGAGTCTCTCTAGACACGTCCCTCACATGCGTGGCCGAAGAGTTGAAGGACAGGATGCCCGCCTGGGCCAAGATGAAGAAGGAGAGTAAAGGACAACTGATTTTTAGAAGTAGAGTAGGGGCCCTAGTAGTCTAAGGGGCCACCCGCAGCTATATTAGTAAGAAAGCGATGCAGAAGTTGAGGCTAGGACTTAAAGTCCAAAAGTTAGCAAACCCTATAGTTAGTATCCTCGCGGACGATCGTACCATGGTTGTAGAGGATTACGTAGAGGGAGTCTAGGTGTATCTCCGCCTAGAGAAAGATGGGAAAGTGGAGAAGGTTCTCCACTCCCTGACTCTCCTCGTAGAAAACAACCTCCCATTTGATATTGTTTTGGGAATGGATTGGGGAGAGGCAGAGGGCAACGCTCCATTTGAAGGAGCACGAGTGTAGGCTCCCTAGTTCTTCAGGCGAGGCCAAGACTGCCCGCCTGTTCCATGTGTCAGGAATGGAGAATCCATTGGCACATTGCTGCCTTAGTGCGCCTGCATTCGCCAGATAATTAAAGAAGGAGAAACTGGAGGAATAGGTCCTTGTCGCCTATGTTAGGCCGATGACTGAGCCTACGGAAGAAAAGTCGATGGATCCTGCGATTGCCAAGCTGCTGGAGGAGTTTAAGGATTTAACTGAGCCGCCAATAGGAGTAGTACCGCGGCCCATCCAGCACCGTATCAAGATAGAGCCTGACAGTAAAACTCCTAAGGGCGCTGTGTATAGGATGTCCCCGCGGGAATTAGAGGAGCTTCGCAAGCAACTAGACGAGCTCCTCGAAAAGGGTTGGATTAGGCCCAGTTCGTCTCCTTTCGGAGCGCCTGTTCTCTTTATTCCTAAGAAAGAGGGAGAGTTGAGGATGTGTATAGACTATAGGGGTCTGAATGCGCGTGAAAAATGTGGAGCCACTGCCTAGGATAGACGATCTCTTAGATCGAGTGTAGGGGGCGAAGTATTTCTCCAAGATAGATTTGAAGTCCGGATATCATCAGATAGAAGTACACCCTGATGATCAGTATAAGACAGCCTTCCGGACTAGATATGGGCACTATGATTTCATAGTAATGCCCTTTGGACTAACCAGTGCGCCAGCTACGTTCCAGCGCTGTATGAACGATTTGTTTAGGCCGTGGTTAGACAGGTTTGTTGTAGTTTATCTAGATGACATTCTAGTGTTTAGCAGGACCCTCGATGAGCATCAGGGTGATCTCAGGCAAGTCTTGGAGAAGCTAAGAGAAGCTAACTTCAAGATCAATGCAAAGAAGTGCGATTGTGCAAAAACCCAAGTTTTGTATTTAGGCCACGTCTTAGACGGAGACGGCGTTAAGTCGGAGGATAGCAAGATCGCAACGATTAGAGATTGGCCCACGCCACGTACGTTGACAGAATTGTGCTCATTCCTGGGCCTAGCTAATTACTACCGGAAGTTCGTAAGGAACTTCTCCACCATCGCTGCGCCCCTTCGCAGATTGCTGAGACAGGAGACTATCTGGAAGTGGGACAAGGACTGTACGTCTGCCATGAAGAAGTTGAAGCAGGCGTTGATAGAGTATCCAGTCCTTAAGGTCGCCGATCCGTCCTTGCCTTTTGTCGTCACTACGGATGCTAGCAACTACGACATAGGCGTGGTGTTACAGCAAGACGATGGCAATGGCTATAGACCCGTAGAGTTCATGTCCGCGAGGATGCCTTCAGAGCAGGTTGCGACATCTACCTACGAGAAGGAACTCTACGCTCTCAGGCAAGCGTTAGACCACTGGAAGCACTACTTGCTTGGGAGACACTTCAAAGTCTATTCTGACCATGAAACATTAAGATGGTTAAAGACGCAGGCCAAGATGACACCTAAGCTTACTAGGTGGGCCGCAGAGATAGATCAGTATGACTTCGAGCTCAAGCCTGTCAAAGGGAAGTACAACGTAGTCACGGATGCTCTGAGTAGGAGAGCGGATTACTTTGGGGCGATAGTGCACTATCTCGATATAGGGAAGGACATGCAGCAAAAGGTTAGGGAAGCCTACGCGCAGGACCTTATCTACAACGACCTCCTTAAGAAAGTCAAAGAGGCCCAGAGACTGAGCCAAACTACCGCACTATGGAAGGGTTGCTTTTTTAGAAGACTAATGTTTTTGACCGGTCGTGTATCCCCAATAGTGAAGAGATCCGTAGTTTGATCCTGGGAGAATGCCATGACACAGAGGGTCATTTCGGTTGGCAAAAGACTTTGGCCAATCTGATGCGCGCATATACCTGGCCAGGGATGAAGAATGATTGCGTAGACTATGTTCGCAGCTGTAAGGTTTGCCAGCGTAACAAGAGTTCTACGCGCGCCCCGCTAGGTCTTTTCAGACCCTTGCCCATTCCGAACCAGCCGGGAGACTCCATGTCCATAGACTTCATTGACACTCAGGTCAAGAGCAGGCATGGCAAGAGCCAAGTCATGGTCATAGTTGACCGCTTCAGCAAGTACGCAGTTTTTGTCCCTTTGCCTTCAGAGGCACGTATTGATTTAGTCATACAAAGATTCTTTGACTTTTGGGTGAGCGAGAATGGAATCCCACCGTCTATAGTTAGCGATAGAGATAGTCGCTTTACTAGCCAGAACTTGCAAGAACTCATGGGAGTGTATGGGTCTAAGTTGTTGATGTCGTCTGGCCGCCATCCTGAGACTAACGGTCAGACAGAGCAGATGAATAAGATCCTACAGCAAGTTCTGCACATGTACATTAGACCAGATCAGATTAACTGGGATGAGATGTTGCCAAAAGTAGCTAGCGCGTACAATAACAGTGCGCACCTGTCCACGTGCCGCACTCCCGACGAACTGCATAAGTCTTTTAGACCCCGCAGACCGTTTGAGGGGCTCAACCGGGATCAGATCCACAGATTACCGCCCGGGACCAGGGAGTTTGCTGTACAGCACAAGAAAGAACTAGCTACTGTTGTACAAAGCCTCAGGAAGGCCCAGCATAGAATGATAGAGCAAGCGAACAAACATCGTCGCCCTTCGCAGTTCCARGTAGGCGACTTAGTCTGGGTCAGTTCTAGAGAGTTTGCGCCTGAGGAGAACATCTCGCAGAAGTTACTGCCCACATATAGGGGACCGTGGCCTGTTCTGGAAGTCAAGGGCGGTGAAGATGGACCGTCCTACACCGTAGAGCTGCCAGCACACCTCCACACTTACCCAGTTTTCCATGCATCAAAGTTACTACCCTGTCAAACAAGCGATCAGTTTCCATCCCGGAGATCTATGATTCCGCCCGATATGGATGGGAGGTATGACATCGATGGCAAAGTGGCTGAAGATGTATTCAGRACTGGAGGTAGGGGTCGTCCACAGAAACAGTACAAAGTTCGTTTTAGTCATCAAGAACCGGAAGACGACCGCTGGTTTACAAGATCTGAACTTCTTGAGACAGCTCCCGATATAGTCCGGGCCTACGAAAGACAGCAAAGGGGTAAAGGTCCTGCCTTAGACTAAAACTTTTTCGGAGGACCTCGAATTTAGGCCGGCGGGAGTGAAACGGCATTCACCAGTTCGCAGTAGCGAATGCAGATCCCAGGGCTCGATCCCTAGTTCCCCGTCTTACCTGTGTACAGTATCAGTGTCAACCCGTAGATTTGAACCCGCTACCTGTAGGATCGCCAGTTGTAGGTAGATTGTCGTAGGTCACAGGGTAGAGGGGAATCGAACTGTAGACCTATAGAGAAGGAGTCTAGATAGTTCCGAAGTCATAGCTGTAGTATACCTGAAGGGGCAAAGTCGTAGCTGCTACAGTATCGAAAGGCCAAGTCAGAGGGTTCTAGAAGTGGCCTTTCGGAATGAGCCTGCGTTGAACAGAGGCAAGTGGTCAAGTGGTGGTAGGCCACCTT